CATGCAATGCCAATAAGAACACTTAGTGAAGGGTGTAGGATTCCAAATGGAATTTTGCCATAAACCTGAGTACGACTGACACTTCCTTCCTGTCCTGATCTTCTCATTATCTCAATTAGTCTTCACATTTATTTGCTATAATATATTAATCCTCAGCCATCTCTTCCACTCCTACAAAAAAAAAAGAAAATACACCAGAAAACTCCATTCTTCCACTTCTTCAAAACTTCCGCTCTGAAGCGCAGCTGAAGTTCTAAGACACAGATACTGGGAAATCTGTCAACCTGATTCAGCACACGCTGGACAAGCCTCTGTCTCCTGCAGAACTATCTCAAGCCCTGCAAAAAAATTACTCGACCAGATATGACACACATTTTCTTCCTGCCAACAGGAATATTTCCACCTGTTTCAATGGGAGATCAATTAGAGCCTGTGTATTTTACTGTAATCTGTTTTGAAGCATCTTTTCTATCTTACTGGGCATTTGCACACTCAGAGGTACAAAGAGGCAAGTTCGAGCCTATCCCTGCTACTGCTGGCAACAGTACTCCAGAAACATTTTCAAAAACCAATCATGCTCCATCATTGAAGAATACCGTTTTTTTATCTCTCACTTCCTACTGGAAATTTGATTAAGGACTTCACTCTCTTTGCCTGTTCTTTCTATCCATCAGCCTGGCCAAAAAGGGGCTGTAAAAAAGCCTTTTCACAGAACTGTTTTTTGTCTAGTGGGTACCATCAAACGTGTTACTCCATGACGTGTGCTTATGTCACTAAAACTTTCCACATCTCTGCACAAGCCAAAAGGGCTAATCCTTAGTTCAGTATCGGCAAAGATGATGTGCATGCCCCATTATGGGTGAATTCCTACCATTCTCCTGAGCAGAAACCATCTTCTAAGCTTAGCTGAAATACACATTCATCTAAACTTCTGCAGAAATTGTCCATAAATGTAAACTATCTATCTTCTTCTGATGTTTATCCTTCTCAAGTGTTTTTAAACTGCCATCACATCTACCCTCTTGCCCATCCCATTCTTTATTTTGCTAACTTCTGTCAGCACGTCCTACTGGTCTCCCCTTACAAAACAGTACTAATTTAAATTTTTTCACCAACTTTTCACTTTCCTTGCTCCCTTACCATTTCTTCCATTACTGTTTTCAGTGGTCCTCTTAATACTTTGAATGTTTTGATGTTCAAAAATATATTTCAAGATATTTAATCTCTGCTTACTATTTTTATTTCACACATCGGAACACCACTGACTTTTAGTAACAGCAGAACCACTTAACATCTTTTTTATCAGATGGTAGTCATAGCCTGCATTCCTTCACTGTACACCTTTTTCCAATTAGCTTCTCTCTTCACCCTCCCTCCCCTGTGTTCCCCTATGGCTTTCACATATCCAGCTTTATCCCACACTTCCTGTATTATTCCTACATTTGTTCCACTGCAATTCAATGTCATTCTCACCTCCCTAATGCTGGCCTCAGTTTGATCTTACTACAAACCACGTGCAAACACAAAAGTGCTGACAGCTTCAACATAAATCAGTGATACAGATAGCTGATAGCGCCATCACACACTACGAATATATAGGTCTGTCTTCCTAGGCACGTACATTGGGGCTATTGCGCAGTATTTCACATAAAACTGACTCTTACACAGTTTTCAGATCTTAGCTTATTAAGGTTTATTTGCACATCAATCATCCCCCAAGTAGGTAACGTATGCTGGTTTGTGCAATCTCTCCCAGAGCTACTTCGGAGCAGACAACAGTTATACAACAATTTAATGACTCTACTATTAGAGTTCTTTTGGAATATAAGTGCAAGGACCAACTGCAGCAAAGGGATGGTTGGACTCTTTAGGCTACCTCTAAAACAGAGAGAAATGCTCCTGTAAAGGGCAATTCAGATCAGGAGTTTAAGACATGCCGTTAATCACCATCCAGAGAATCTTCTTTCCTCACAGGCTATAAATGAAATGGAATTGCTCAGCCTCTCTAGGCACAAGATCCAGGAAGGGCTACTGCTAGTGCTTCTCGTACAGCAGCGCAATGTGTTGGCACTCTACTACTCTCAAGGTGACACAGATGGCCCTTCATGTCTGCAGAGCATTCAGTCTATATTGCCAAGGGGGAAACAGCAAAGTCCTACTGAAGAGAGAGCATTACTGCTTAATGAATCATTTTCCAGTATGAAAATCCTTTCTTTTATTTTAGGCTACAAGGGATTCAAACCAATGCCAAATGGCTCAGCCTTCTCATTTTATTTATTAGCAGTGCATGCTCGAGACATAAGTGTTTTCTCTTATGTGAACAGTTTACAATTACATGGTAGTTATGTAACAAAGAGACTTTGCCCTTTAAAATGCCAGACTTCTCTCGCAAGGCTTCAAAGAGAGGAACAGCTAAAAGAGAGTTCCCTCCCAACAAAATACTGAAAACTTTGGCTTTGACATGGAGAATGAGTTGTTGAGATATAAGCATTGCTAGGAACAGCATAAAGTTCCAGATGTTTTATCTCTGAACATTACAGCCTTCAAGACACCGAAATTCCAGACTGCCCTCTAAGACAATTTTGGATGAACTCTGGAAAATACAAAGGAGCCAAAGAGGAAAGAATAAAGGAAACGGAACTGCTCAGGACAAGCATAAGGAGGCATCTATGAACACATACGAAAGACACCAACACTACCTGGATGACTTGCAGTCAAACTCATCTAATGGGTAAGATTTACATGCAACAACAACAAAATGTCCATTTTTCACATATAAGTACATTTCTGTTATATGGAAAAAGTACTTATTTTGCAGTGCCCATCTTCTATTTATAATTGTAACGAACCTCCAAAAGTGATCTGTTCCAGTTCTCAGAACAGACTTAATGGGCATATACTCATTTCTATGTTCCAAATCCTGGAAGTACTAAATGAAACCTAAGGCTGCTTCTTTTCGGTATCTTTCGAGACCGAAGAACGAAAAAGTTAATTAAAAAGAAACACTCAGTGGAGAAGCTAATAAGGTGACTTAGTACCTGTGATCGCCCTTCGGATCTCTCGTGCTGCTTCCTCCCGCATCTCAATTGAGGCTTGTTCACTATACCAGGCTGCATGTGGGGTACAGATCAGGTTTGGTGCATCCTTCAAGGGGCCCTGACTAAAACTAAAGGAAGATTTAAACCAAGATCAAATGACAATAAATACTGTCAGGTTGGAGGGGCGGGGGAGAGGGGGAAACCATATGAATTCGTACATACACAGATTAACTTCTATAACAGAAAATAATCACATTTCTATTCCTTATTGGGTTTGCTTTTAATTCTGTCAGTTAAATTTAATACACTATTCATGGTATAAATACACAACAATCACCTCTCATAGACTCGAAGGGTAGCAACATTAGTTCCTGCCCAATGCACTTATCGCTAACTACAGCCACTACCACTCCAGCTCTGGCGCAGAAATGCATAAAGCAAGACCCAAATCAATTCAGGATGCCATTCCATTTGTCCATTTCATCACAGTTTCACTGCATTAGCCAACCAAGCTCTGTTCTCTCAAGAGTCACTGTCAGTGTGACATTTAGTCATGTAAAGAAAAAACATCTTACAATTACTTCCAAAGAAGTGTGCCTATCAGCAGCCTCAACTTTTCTTTTTTTAAAAACCTGTTTTTCCTTTCCTGTTCCTTTATAGAAACTCCACAGAAAGAAGGAAATTTACTTTACAGATTGATTTTCAAGGAAAGCAATAAATCTGTGTAAAAGTATTATCACAGATACAAAGTAAAGAAACTGAAAATAACGGAAACTTGCTCTTCCTATTTATTTCCAGTTTTAATAATCTTACAGTCAACTGTAACAACAAGAGAACACATTTTAAAGACAAAAGCGTGCGTTCAGAGTTGGTCATAATTCACAAAATGATAGATTTCATCTGTAGTTCAATAAACATCAGAATATCTGGCAAAACTCTTGAATAAAGAGTTGCATGCTGCGATCAGATAGACATGCAGCACTGAAGCCAAAGGAAATTGTGGCTGTAATCCTGCAACTGAATCTCTGCAGATGGCATCTCCATGCAGTAAATGGGGCTTCCTATAGGTGCAATGGTCTGCTTGTGCAGATCCGAGACCTGAATTGGGAAGAATGTATGCAGCTGAAGGTCCCTTGAGCTGTTAAGACTCTGGCTTTGCACAGCACTACTGCATTGTAATGACTACAATTAGAAGTAATTGCATGCAGGGTATGCATAAATAAAATCAAATATCTGTGATGCGGCACTCTGTCTCAGTAGATAAAAAAATTCTACCTAAAAGGATATTATTCTGTTTTGTAAAGCTTCTATTCCACCCCCAAAGCTGATAGGAGAGAGGCTGTCCTCTCTTCAGTCTTTACAACCTGCCCTCAAGTTCTGAATCTGTTCCTCTTCAAAAACCTATGTGGATTGTTCCAGTTAAAACTGACATTTCTCCCTGCCCAGACTGAACAACTGAAAAAGGCTTGTCACATCAAGCACTAAGCTACAGCAGCTTAGTCTCATAACTAACTCAGAAGTCAGGCTCAAGACTCAAGGACATAGCGAAGAAGCTCGTTCCTGTTTACTAGTGTTGATTTCGTAACACCAATGCCACTTTGGGGAGTGGTACATCTGTCTAAAACAGTGGACTTCCAGTGTCATTCAGAAACTAAGGCTTGTGCTACCAGCTCTGCTAATGGCAGCAGAGTTACTGCTCCCCTGATAAAGGGTAAAACAAAACCAAACCTGCATTCTGACCACATTCCTTAACTTATTTTTTTTGCAACCTATTACATTTATGGCTTTCCTGCAGAGGCAATCTAGACAAAAGTATGTCTTTTCCTCCAGAAAGGTGTCAAAGTAGTTAATTCTCACACCAAACCACAACTCTTTGCCTTCTGAAAGAGTCTGTCCAGACATTGACGTTAGTTGCCTCCAGAGCTGCATCAGTGACAAAGGAGCACTCTCCTCAAAGCCACGACACAAAGCCATGCCAGGATTTGAATCTAAGCCCCTGCTACTTCTACCAAATACAACCATTGGATTTTTTTTTTTTTTTTTAAGGAATTAGATCTTGGATGTCACTTTTTTTCACTTGTGACCACATACACAAGCTCCATCTACATTTGCATTAGTCCAGTGCTGCACAGATTCATGTTGCTTTACTAAGGAGTAGTTAGCTACCAAATGAAGGGAAAACTCAATTTACTTGTTGTTGTTGATTGTATCATGCACTAAGACTTAAAAATAAGAAAGTGAACAAAATAAAAAGAAAAGAAAAGGAAAAGCACCTGAATGGTTCTGACTCATGTACATCTAAGGCTGCCCCTCGTATCCTTCCTTCCTTCAGGGCCTGTGCAAGTGCTTTTTCGTCTACTAACCCACCTCGAGCTGTGTTGACCAGGAAAGCCCCTTGTCTCATCTAGGGAAAGTTAAAAACAAGAATGATGAAATAAAAATAAATGAAATAAAATCGTTGTGGCATTATTTTTTTTACTCAAAAGAAGCATCCATTACAACAAAGGCTATTCAGCTGATTTAACCTGTAACAGTTGTCTTCCCTTTCCATTGGAAAGCACCACAAAATGTGATGCTTCTAACATAAAATGCTATTTCACAGCACTTAAAAACCTTTCGTTTCTTGTAAGTAGTGCCTTTTAATAGAAGCGTTGTTTCAGATATTGTGCAGTAACATGATCAAAAGATACAACTGTGCATATGAAAGTGACAGATCATTTTATGCCTTTTTATTTCACTGTGAAATTGCATGAGACAGAAACTACAGCACATTCTTCAACAAGTTCATATTCTGTGGTTTTCAACTTTCACACAAATAAAAGCCTACATGAATTTTTCAGAAAAATCAATGCTTTTGAATTTTCAAACACTTTTCCCTTCAGTTGCCAAAACACAGATCTATGTTTTATTTATTTTTGTTACTTCAGCTTCCTCCTCCCTGTGAGACTTTTCAAATAAAGGTCTAAAGAAATCTTATATTATTCAATTAAAAGGCATGAAAATGAATTTAGTTGAGAACGCTGCGTGCCCAGGAGAGAAGCTGTGCTGTGCATTGTGCAGATTAGCATTGTAGATGACACAGTGCGGGGAGAACTACGAGAATTTACACCATAATATATCCACAACTTGAAAACAAAGTGGCGGTTTAAGTAAGAGAGATGGCACAGAAAGAAAAGAAATTGCTACATCCTGCTTCCAGCCACCCCAACACTTCATCTTTCACCAGGTGTCTCAAACACAGCTTCTGAGCTCAGAAGTACTTCTGTGCATGAAGGTGAAGCATATGGAGAGCAGGAACCATGCTGAAGATGGATGATGAAAATCTCATTTTGTACTGACTCCATCTCTCACCACAAGAACAAGAAAACCCCAACATTTGGACACCAAGTCAGCTACTTCAAACCTGCACATCAAACTAACGCTTATGTAAACAGATCCTTACTCTGTAAGACTGATTCCAAACGCCAAATTCATGAACAACAAGGAGGTCTGGATGAAAGTCAGCTACCAGAATGTTCTTACATGAGATCATACGAAATATTAAACAATTAACACGTATATGCATGCAGTAAGGTTCTAAGAAAAAACACTCCACAATTTACCAGCCAGCTGTCTATGTTTAGTGTGGCCCTGTCCCCTCCCTTTGCAGACTCTTGGGCTTAGAGGAGAACCACCTATTGTCCGTACAGCGAAACCAAAGTCCACTTACAGAGCGGAACTAAGGGGTATTTCCTTCAGTTTTACGTAACTAACTTGGGAGTTAGAGCAGTGAAGAAATGGTGGCACGGTCAGAAGTTGGACTACAGTTGGACTACAGTTGTTACTACAAGACACTCCTGATGGGAACCAGCACTGCACCTCCACTACCTCAGTCAGCTGTGAGAACTAGAGCCGAGCCAGGGCAGGAGGGCTCACCCAAGTGACAATCACACCTGCTGCGTGGACATGCCCTATAGGCTCGTAGGAACTCCTATACCCTCCCTACTTCTGCCCTCTTGCAAATGGATTATTTGAGTTTTAAGTAGAGCTTAACGTATTTATATGCCCTTCGAAGGACTTAGAAATTTTAATCACAGTGAACCCTGCTAGAATTTGCTGTCCAATGTGAACAACCTTGCTTGAGTTTTCATTTTAGGACTTTCTACAAAACTCTAAAACCAGTAGTTTTTAGACTCAAAGTCGGAATCAAACAGAACATGGCTGCATAAATGCATTCTAGTGGGAACGTATTACGTGACTCCTGACACACTGTAAGGGTGGATGCAGGTGGAAATGACCCTTAACAATGGGTGGAAGCTTGAAAGAGCTTCGCAGCTAGAACTGCTGACAGCTGTTAAAATTCACCTACACTAAACCTGCACAGCAGCTTTAAAAACGTATGGTGTTTAAACTGCAGCACCTTTTTCACAAATCTGTAACACTAAAAATGACCTCGGCTTCTCTTCGGAGCACTTGATTGCCAAGGGTTCGGTAAACACGAGCTTGAAACAGTTCCCTGAGCTGCTCTGGGTCTACAAGGCCAAGCATGATGGCTAGGCAAAATGCTGACTACTTAAGGGGAAAAGCTACTGAAAGAGAAGACTGACACCAAATTTTCAGAGACATTTTAAGGTTATGTAATTTCAGATTCTAAACAAAATTCAGGGTGAGACTTGAGGTGAAATGAGATGCACCATACTTCTCTGTGCTTTGTTTAAAAACTGGTTATTACATGAGCATGCCATGTTGGACAAAAATGCTCTCTAAAACTTTTAGGCCAACTCTTAACATCTGTCAGCCTAAAAAAAACTGTTCTGCTCCTTTTGATGCATATTCGGAAGATTCGCTCTACACAACCTAAGCAGTCAGAGGTGTTACAATTTTATGGTTTTCACACCAGCTGTTACAACGCAGACTGCTTCATCGAAACTTTTATCCAAGTAAGAACTATCTTCTAACCTTTTAATCCTTGCTTTAAGCATGAAGGATAACAAATAGCAAGATAAATGCTTTCCAGTACAGACTTTATTACATGTGCTTCATTTCAGATGGTATCACTCTGTTTTAACCTGTTTGGGTTTTTTTTTTTTCTCTGATTAATGTACTAAGCCCTCTCCAAAATTTATTGCATTTATACAGCTCCACTCAAAAATTTCCCGTGACACACTGGCCCAACTTTCAGTCCACTATATGATCAGTGATCACTGCTTAGGCTCCAGATGGTCCCACTGAATTCCACAGGATTCTGTTTGGGTCTAGATGTCTGCTTGCAAAGACAGCTAAGCATGGAATAACCATTAAACATACCTGAGCAGACAGGGCATGGTGACAGGGCTCTGCTCTCTCAGAGACTGGCATTTTAAACTTCTTAATTTTTTAGAGTTTTATATCCCAAACCCTGATTTGATGTCGGGATCAATCTGCAAAATCCCTGAACTCTCAAATTAAGAACTGTGCTGTATCGTCAGTTTTCTGCCACGATCCTACATGACTGTTAAACACATTCAGTAATTATTTCAGTTCTCCTGAAGTTCAGTACTAGGTGCAAACTGTTTCTCAGAGCCTAAGCAATGATTTTACTGCAAAAAATTGCTACCTACATACACAAACACTACATATAAAAAGAACACCAAAATCAGCTATTATATCTTAAGAGTTTCCTTCCTGTACACTATCTACCGTTCTACATCTCAATGATGTATTTCTTGCTATTACCTACACTAAGGTTGGGGTCAGAAGCCAGACACTTAATGAAAATGTTTACTATAGATGAGTCAATAACAGAGCAGTTACTACACCCAGATTTTGAAATTATTTTAATATTACCTAAACATTTAGGGAGGTTAGTACTAATTCCAAGAAACATCATTTTTCCAAATAATGCAATGCTGTAAAGACAATCCATCCATGAAGCACTCTGCAAGCATCGGGACTGAACACAGGAGGGAGCCATTTAGTCATACTCCTTAAATTGCATCTAAAGAACTCAAAACTGAGGAACAAGAGTGAAAGGCAGAATACGCAGGTAAAGGATGTAGCTGCTAGATGACAAAGATGCAACTTTAACTCTGAGAAACAGTGAGAAGAGCAAATTATTTCCACCAATGCAATGTTACTGAGCAAAAGACAATAAAAGCAACAATACAAAAGCCACCAGCTATTTCCTAACCAGTTATAAACCCACTTGATCTCAAAGTAGCAGAAGGGAAAGAAATTTCCTTCAAATGAGAATCTGCCTGTTTACACAAATAAATGCTACACAGTGTCAGCCACTAGCACTGATATGGAGGGTGCCCACAGAGATTATTACCTGCTTTATGGTGAAGTCATTAATAAGATGATGATTGTGTTCATTCAAGTTGCAGTGAAGAGTAACACAGTCACTGTGGAACAGCAGGTCCTGCAAAGTGCTCACCCGCTGCAGTCCCAGAGCACGCTCCATGCCATCCGAGAGGTATGGGTCATAGAAAATCACACTGAAGCCAAAGGCTTTGGCACGTAGTGCTACTGCTTGCCCAACACGCCCTAGAACAAGACAAAACATGCAATGAGAACAGATGTGAAGCAGCTGGTGTAAGGCAGCCTCCCTCCTTCCTATTGCAGATGCTTATATCAAACCATACTGTTTTGTACAGCAATTGGAAGAGGATAAGAAAGAGGCGGCTCCCATCCCACTTGATATCATCACTAAGATTAGAAATGTTACAACTGGGCTGTTTCACGCTGTCTTGCTCAAAACAAAGCAGGAGGTCTGCACCTTTTGCAACCCGTGATCTGAAACGCCGGAAGATGTCACGTAATCTGTGATAATCTGTGTAATACAAGGGTTTGCCTGCTGGGCCTGTTTATGGTAAAACACTACTGCTTGTGAACGCATCCTGCCAAGGACTTATTCTTACCCATGTCAGACCAGCTGGCTTTAATAAAAAGCTATAAAATTAATCCTCAAAAATGGATGCAATAAAAAGATAATTTGTTTAATCTGAAGATCAACTGTTCTCAATACATGGAATCTCCTTTCTGAACCAGTATTTTCTTTCATTTTAAATAACATCCTTTCAGCATTAAAATGCCTACAAGAGCCCTGTCATCTCAGGCTTTAAAAAATTCTGTATCCATTTACCTAGATGATGAATAAATACAGCCCATCGTACAGCACCTAGTTAAGAAGAGTGCAGTACCATTTGGTAGCCATATTAACATTGGCTTTTCTCTTTCCTGTCGTATTTCAGAGCTGTAACTGGAATTGCTGTTTGGGCATGACTCCATGCCACATGTATCAGGACGTGTGTATTTCTCTTTGACACACTACCAGTAAAACACAGGAGAAAAGGCGAGTACATCTACTGAGTAAGGGTATTGCGAAGGACGAGAACTAACACACTTTTCAGGGCAGAAGACTACACACTAGATACTAGATACTCACGTCAGAGTGTTACAAATGTTAGATAAAGACATTTCAAAAGCATCACTAGACATACCATAATAATCATGTCTCCTTTAAAAAAAAAAAAGTGGACAAGTTTTCTTTTGTAACATTTGAGTTTGTTCAAAAAAGCATCAAATTAACACAGGGAAATCCCGTCTCTTTCCAATTGTGCTTGAAGGGGATTTCCCTCTGCTTTTCAGTTTCTCTTTGAATAAACTTAAGAAGCCACGGGAAGAAAGGGGTTTTGTTGATCACTTAACCTGAACACAGCAATTCTGCAGTGCTTAGTGACAGATGTGCTTGGAATATTAAACAGTACCCAATCTGATGGGGGCTGTCTGCTTTCTTTGGGGACACCAAGTTAAAATACTCTTCAAAATCTTTTATTTCAATACTTGCATACATGTTTTTTGTTTTTCAAGCTGGTTTTTATAAACTTGAATTAGACAATTTTCAGCACAAACACTGTATTATTTTCAAATTCTGGCATGTTCACAGCTCAAGGAATCAGTCACACAACTGTAAACCATTTATTTTTTTCTAAAGGAAGCTTACTGCTTTTACTCCTGCTCCATTCATTTTCACATGCAACATCCTCTCATCTCTTCTTTTGTACAGTCTTTACAACACTAATACCTGAGGGAATCACAACAGTGAAATCTCTTAAAACAGACTCTCCAGTCAAAGCTACACTTCCCATTCATTGCAACCAGGCTAATAAACCAAAGCTGCCTTCAGTGTGCACAAAGTTTCCTTCTGAAACACTTGGGAATGACATGTGTCTACTTCTAGCCAGAACTGTCCTACTACAATTAATTTATGGCATAAAACTCTTTCACAGTTGACAATTCCTACTCAGTCTTAGTTGTCAGACAAATACATAGGTGGACACATGTAATTTGCCAACTGCTTTTTAAACTAGTCTGACAATACAGTACAACCGCAAGATGTTTTCCTTTCCTGAAAAAAAAAACTAAATATAAGACTCTCCAGGGTATGAGGGGTGGTGTAAAACCTACTTCAGTATATCAAGAACAACATAACAGCACACAAAGCATCCCACCTTCGGGACAACTCTTTCTTAAAAGCCCACACAACTGGTATGAATATTCACAGCTGCTTCTGGGGAAGGCCAATTCTGAAGTTCAAAGTGAAGTTCAAATGAACTTCTTTGTCTGCGAGTGTGGGAAGAATGCAGAAAATGCACCTTGCATACAATTGCAAGACAAGCAGAAAGCAACAAAAGCCTATTTTAGAAATCAGAGATGTGTATAAAGCTCTAGCAAATCTATGCATCGTTTCAGTGACACCCGAAGTATGAAGAGAGATTCATCAAAAGCGCATGGGTCTCCTGTACAGTCTGACCCACCTACTCCCCCCCAGGTCTCCCCGTCTGTAGGTGTCTCTGACCTTGACCCTGCCAATGACCTGATGGGAGTGCGACAGTATAGTAGCGGCAGTAGTCAATGATCCCAGCCCATCCCTTGGGCGAAGAATGAGCATTCTGTGTCAGAATCAGAAAGCTTATAAAATGCCCTCGATACGGTGGAAATGTTGTTGACCTGCCTGCAGACTGCCATGGAAAGAAGTGCTTTCACTTAGCAGCTCTTTCCTGTCTATGTATGCAACAGTAATGGAGAATCTGGGTAATTCTTCCTCCCTCCTGGAGAACTCTGAAATGTGGAGAGTGCCATTTTGGTACACTTCCTGCTAAACACATTAAGAGAGCTAGCATGACTGCTCTAAGGGTACATCATTTATTGCATGGTAATTCCACCCGACTCATAAACCATAATATTGTCTGATAACGCAGATCAGTACCTTAGCCAAAATCTAGTCAGGACTGTGAGACTGTTGAGAAACTACAGCTTGTGAGGAAAGACAAACTGAGTGATTGCATTCATTATGATGTGGAGACAAACATATTTGGAGGAATTTCACCTCTCGAGTAAGGAAACACATTAGATATTAGTCATCAGCATTTCTAACTGGGAAGGAAGGGCAAGAGAGCGTGACTTCACTGCTCTAAAATCATCCTTACAACAGAACCAGGTCCACTTATCTATTCATCCAAGTACTTACATGCTGCTGCTCTTAAATATTCGCAATAAAAACCCCAAAAAACCACACAACACGACACCAAAACAAACACACACCACCAAAACCCAAAAACAAACACCAAAAAAAAAAACACCCCTAAATGTCTAGATATAGGGTGAAAAGGTAGCTTTCCTTTTTTGTTTTTTTTTAAATGCAGAGCCTACTATCCAAGCTTGTGATGCATCACTTGAAATATAGGACACTGGATAGTAATAAATATTAAAAGTGACAAAGACAGCTGTTTAATGGTGTGATATTATTATTTATGTAGGGCTCAAAGAATCACACACTTCATAAAGACAGAAACAAACACAGGCTCTGCCATAAGGGGCTCAGAGGCTAGCCAAACAACAAAACAAAGACGGATGGTATCCAACAAGCACACGAAGGAGGCATTACACTGCTGAGTCTCTGCTTATCTTCAAGCTCAATACAAGCAGAGGATGAGAGATGGGGTTAACTTTAAAAGGAGAAGCACAAAGTAATAGGATTAAGCAGGATAGACCAAGTGTCAAAGCAGGAATATGCATGAGAGGAGGCAAAGAGAGTGGGTGATGGAAAGAAAAAAGCAAGTGAGTCATGAAACTTGGCTAGACCAGTGGATAAGGAAGTGAGTAGCTGAAGCTTTGGAGGGAATGACTATCCTAGCATAGAGATAGGCAAGAGCTAGGGTGTTTCTCTGGCAACACAAGAAAATAGCCCATGAAGAGATGTGAAGAAGGTCTGGATTTCGCTGTTACAACAGCAAAGTGATAAATTTAAGCATCTCAGTGCTGAAGAGACCACAGGTTTAAGACAAGTATAGAGAAACATAGCTGTGGTTGAGATACAAGATGGTCTCAGACACATATTAATGAGAAAGGACAGAGCAATACTACACAAAACTAGAGAAGGACTTAGTAAAACATGATGAAAATTGTTAGTTTTGTGTACAACATATTCACTTCATAGCCTCTTAGTGGTTCAACCCCTCGGACACTGACGTGTCTAAATAATAAAATAATATATTGAGGCAAAATTACAGATGTGGGAAGAAGCCACTAGTAGAGAAACGTAAAACCTAAGGGCACCAGTCTGCTGAAGGTGGTTGTAAATACATACTTTAGTCTAAAACTAGAGGCAGGTAGACTCCTGCAGAGATCTACAATAGAAAAGCACATGTATCACCACTTGAGGTACCTGAAGTGCTCAAATGTAAAGCCTAGCACTGCCTATTTCCATATCTTCTCATACTACAATTTTATTCTTCATTAATACATAGCTACACAGGAGTTTGTTAGAACAGGCCAGAATCAAAACGTACCTATTCACATACGTGTGCAAAAAGAAACAGCGGAAGTTTTCATAACTGACTTTAAAACTTAATTTTCCTTGAAATTCTGAATATTCTGTTGTAGGAAAATAAACAGGAACAATAAAAGGCTAGAGATGCATATCTTCAAAATCAGATTTCACTAGCCTTTTAATATACCATGCACATAACAGGCTTCCTTTCAAAAAATAAAATCAAAACCTAGCATTTTTCATAGCTTTACACACATGCTGGCAATCAGGTTATCCATATGTTTCTCCACACCGTTCAATCATTCCCAACAAAAACAACACACACAACATTCACTTCAGGAAGTCAATAATAAATGACATTTTTTTCCTAATCTTAGCCTGGAATTTGTGCAATACAAAAAATGCCAGGCCAACAGGACAGACATCTCCAGCAAATATGCACACAGCATGTGAGCCAAGGCATAAGTTTCAGAAACTACGTCTGCATTTCCATTTTTAACACACTACAGGTGACAGTGATTATTATACTCACACATATAACAGACAATGTGTTTAAGTCAGGTGCATCGTTACATGGGTATAGATTTGAGAAAGCAACTTCATGACTGATTTATTGAAAGCCACATTTTAAAGGCAATTCTTTGACTGTGAAGATGTTTTCTGCTGCCTTGCATACTCATTTAAATGAGCACTATGTAATGCCAGGTTATTTTCAGCTTTCAAAAGGAAGAGTTGGTGGCTTGAGTTATTTGACAGCAATGTGTAACTGGAACAGTCATTTAAGTATGATGCCTTGTTGTCAAAATCGTATTATTAATTCCTGTGGATGAATACCACAGCAATTACATCCACAATCTAGCAGATCTTGGGTAAGACAAGCACATGACCGAATTATTTTTATATAGAAACTGACTTGCTTGTTTTTATTCTCTACTTCTGTAACAGACAGTAATTAATTCATCTCAAGCAAGCCTGTCCATCTGTTAGATGCTGAAACACATTTAGGGCCACTCAGAGAGGTAAGTAGGTGACTTTATTAGGTCTGGAAACATTTCAAGTTTTCTTGCATCTATCTTTTCTCTCATTTGAGATGAAATACAAATTCAGAGGCAGCTCAATCAAATGCACACAGTAACTGCTCTGCAGGCTGTTACTGCAGCAAAGACTTTTCAGGTATGTTAAAAACAGTAAAAGGAAGAAGCATAAACGTACCCTGATATGACAGTGAACGAGAAATACAACATATATGTGTGACACCGGGTTGAAGTAGCAGTATCCTTGTCCTGGAAACGCCACCAGTGTTCTGACAGCAGGCAGTATGGCAGCAGAAAGGCATACAGAAACTCAAAGAACTGAGAGAATATCAGCAACAAAGTTGTCTGCGAGAAACGATGATGTGCAAGGGGAAAAGATTTGACACACCAACACCAGCAATGAAGTGGTATCATACTGAATGCTTGACATGGAAAGGGGCGAACTAAGTAGTTAATTTTTATAGCTCAAATCTTGGTAACATTTTTAAAGCAACGGAAGGTGAGGAGTATTAAACCACCTCTACAGGCCAACATACCTAATCCAATAATGCCCAAGGTCTCCCCTCTGATCCTGGCAGCTCCAGAAGCCACTTCCCGAATCTGTTCGACGCTCTGTACTCTCGTGCCTTCTCGCAAAGCCTGGTGAAGCCAAGTGGTTCGCCTGTACAGGTTCAGAATGTGGCACATGGTAGAATCTGCTGTTTCTTCTACAGAGGCAGCTGGCACATTACACACCGCAATCCCTACAAAGAATGGGGAGAAAGGATACCAGTTGCCAAACATTTCTTACTTTTCCCCATCTAACAGCAATTCAGGAGTATGATGTTTAAAATTACAGATATTTCGACACCTGTTTTGCACAAATACTTTCTGGCTATAATGGCAGGCAATACTTGACATAGTAGCTGATTAAGATATGCAAACAGATTTTTTTCCTCATTTGTTATTACTACTTATTGTGTTTGCAGAGTGAGGCAAACAGCAAACAGACCCCTGAAACCACAAAAGGGAAGTACTGAGGATGTCAGGTAGTTTAGAACACCCATCTTGGTAAGCGTGTTACAGGCACACTGAGCCAGGTGTTTGGAATAGCGAAGAGAATCTGCCTTGCTCTCAACCGTGTGGTTAGTGATCACTGTTTAGAATTAATTGTTGGAGTGAGCCTTCTATCACTGTACAGATATCCTCCCAAAAGCTACCTATACAAGATTTAAAAGATATAAAATAATTCATAGTGACAGCAACTCTTATAAATCACTCACAGGACAACTATCAGTATTTCCACTTCATGTATGGGTAATTAGGAAACAGGGAGGGCCAATTTGTTTAATGTTGCACACAGGTTTGTAGAATTATAACAAACAGAATCCAAGTCCTTTCCCGGTCCCTCAAATTAAAGAGATAACCCTCTAATAAAAAAATGCTTCTGCATGGCACGCAAAGATAACGCAAAATTAAGTCCATGTTGCTAATAACTGGAAAGTTACTAGTGAAAAGGGTGTAACATCAAGAAGCTAAAAGACCCTTACAGATTTCCACAGACAATTGTGGAAGTTGGATTTATTCAAGACTCAAAATACTCCTTTTTTATGTGAAAAAACAGATGAGACCCAAGTGATTGTAATGCAGGCAAGTTATCCCATTCTGCTTTTTACCTTTCAGTACTCAATGTACAGCAGTTAAGCAAAATGTTTATGTGAAAAAGTTGGTGTCCTTTTAGACTTGACTCACATAATTCTATTTACTACATGTTCTCCCTCTAATCATCAGCTCCCACGAATGTTTGTCTCTCAGTTCTGCTGACTGAGATCACAGACAGTATACAGCATAATTTCATGGGGGGGGAGGGGGGGGAAGTGTTTTGTATACTAAAAACCACCCCAATACTGTTTTCACTGTCTAGTTGTTTGCGTTTTTACATACATAAATATTCATTGAGCCCTCAGCTCACATAGGAAGCAAGGAAGAACAAACCTTCTCTTCAATAATAGTAATAACAATAATCTGACAAATAATAAGCTCATACTGTATTTATCTTTTACATGCAAATGCCTTGATTCTGCTGCCCAGTGCTTTTTCACAGCTTGCTTTACATCAGTAAAAACCAACATAAGGCACCTACAGAACCGTATTTCTTTTCTCTGCTGCAGAGATACAGTGTCTGCTGAGTCACTGCTCTTAGCCTTACACAAAGATAAAACAGCATAATTTTCTGGTATATTAACCTTGGCATTCTGCTAACATCAATGGTAGTAGGAAACTCACCATCTTATGACAATGCGGAAAAAAAGCACGAGTTGGGGGGGGAAGTACAAGACTGAAAAGTAACATCCTTTTAAGTGCATCATATTGAACAGCTGCATTTGTCATTTTTCATGGAGCAAAAATGCAGGTGTCTTCTGATAGCTGGCAGCAACAAAATCATGCTTTAAAAGGAGCTTAAGAAGCTGTATTACATATTTAGGAAGAGAAATAATGAACTAAACTCACCTTACACCTTTCTCCCTAATAGGTTTCCTTGGGAAATTTGGGGAAGAAAAGTCAGATAATTTCTCTCCTAAACTGTAGGATTACTAATTTTTTAATTTTTTTTCCCCTTATTATTATTTTCCCCCTATTTTCCCTCCATTTTAAAACCAGCTGATTTCTGAAAGGCAGGGGCTTGGTGAGCCACAAAAAACAGCAAGATAGAGGCAAGGATACAAAGGGACACTTTCCCTAGGAAAAGACAGCACACTAATCTCATTTCTATTGTTTCTACACTCCCTTCCCTTTCTCCTTTTCTCACCGCTTTCCAGTGATATTGTGCATATGTTCAGTGCTGAAAATCAAGGGAGTCAATAGGCATCACCCTTGACTCCCACCTCACGTGTATCCAGCTACACTCACTGCTTGTACACGTTTTCTAGTGAACAATTAATAAAGAGGAGAAAAAGCAGACCAAATCTTAAAGATTTTATCCAATAAATGTAAGTTTGCATGCATTTTAAGGAAGTGCTAACATGAAAATAGTAATAGGGAAAGCTGGTAACTCCACAAGCCAGCTCTATGAAAAATAACTCAGGCTACTATGGAAGTTCAGGAATACATCAGACTTCATGGTCTAACTCTACATTTTTTTTCAAGAGTGAACCAAGTTTTTTACAAACAGCAAATAACTTTTGTATTACTTCCTTGAGATGTGTATTATTCGTACTAGTTCAACAAATGGAAAGTGATTTGTCCCAGTAATGGTTAGTATTTACTTCCAACCATTTCACCATAACTATGAAAATCAGAGGTTTTATACCATAAGCCTTCCGGCATTTACTGGCTTTTAAGAGAGTGGACAACTGCATTTCATAAATACTGGAATGCACAAATGGGACGGATCCTAACTGTGTGACTTGGTCTAAGCACATCATACGAACTGAATGGCTATGAGTGTGGCCATTTAGCATTTCGTATGAATAAGAATTTCCCAACTCTGCTGTACTCTGGGTTGAAGAATTATGTGGATGCATTTAATTTATAAGTTTGGGTTACAATCCAGCACTGAGACTTGCAGAAACTTGAAGAGATTTTTTTCCTACCAGGGATTCTCTGCACAAATCGGACTCCTGACTGGCCAGGGCCTTTGACCTGTACCCATGTTTTGGCCTTCAACCCAGGACTGCACCCCAGGCCAACCTCTCCATATATATTGTTTTTCGGGTCTCAACGCATGTGCCTAGTTTCAGCACTGGCTACAATACGTAAGAACATAGCCTCGCACACTTTCAGACCTGATCTTTTATTATAGAACCTCAGAATGGAGTTGTTAGCCTCTGCCTGCTGTGCAGCAGCAGGTACAGAGCAGAAGTACACAACTACACAGCCACGAGAAACAAGTGATTATTTTACTATCTTTTACTAATAAACAGACCATGTTACAGCTCCTCACTACGTCAATGGGGTATTACTAGGACTATGCACTGTCACATGGAAGTAAATGTTTCTATCATCTTCCCAGAACATAATGGGAAACCTACTTGGTCACCTCAGTCTTAGAAAAGAAATTAAGAAAACGTAGACATTTATTCCAAGTAGTAGTTTAACCTGTGGATTGTAGACAAGAGATTGTTTATTCCCAAGGAAGAAAAGTACAAATCATAATGTTGCTTTTTTAAGGTGAAACACTAAGCCTCACTTCTTCATAGTGCCAGTGTATGAATTTATACTGAAGCAATAACTGATTCCCCTATAAAATCGGTATTTCTATTTTATGGAGTGGTTCAGTACTAAATCTCATGCATCATAAGTACGTCTCAGACAGTTGATAACGATCTCATTTTTTATTCAAACAGAAGTAGTATGCCATGCTGATGGAATTATATTTTGTGATTGGATTGTAGCAGTAGTAGTTAAAACATACAATTGTGGTAAAAAAGAAGGAAATGAAAAATTATGGCCTTGCTCCTTGGATTTATACTGAACAGGCAGATTGTCATCATGTAACAAAGCTGTTAATATTGTCAATTAACTAACTAATGCTAGTATCTCCATAAGGATTTTTAAACACTGATGAGAAAATTATACAGCCTACATACTATGTTAGTATAAATTACACAGAAAACATTAACGCAAAGACTTAGTTGCTGTCAGATTTCTGGAGGCACAGAGAAGATGTAAAAGATGTCTTAATAGTCATACCTAAATCTCCAGCAGATTTGATGTCAATATTATCAAAACCACTGCCAATTCGGACAATTATTCGAAGTGCTTTAAATTTCTCCAGGTCTTCTCGTGTTAAAGTGATAGTGTGATACATCAGTGCACCCACTGCTTCATTTAGTACCTATAAATACAATGGAAGGAAAAAACCACACCTTATTTCTTTTCTTTCACAGGATCTCAGTTTAATCAAATACACATTTTTTCCAGGTATAAAAAGCCTGTAAAAGCATTAAATCCAGGTCTTTAGGTATAAAGGTTATTTCTCCAAATATCTCCCGGCCGCTTGTTAGCCCTTTTCATTGTTCTAGTGTAAGATTAGCTTTAGAAGAACTAAGTGAGGGAAAACTCTTCTCATTTCACAGGTGTTTTTCTGCAATACTGGACCCCAAATACAAGCATCACTGGAGTGCATCTGCACAGGCAGATGAAACACAAGATGGGAGCAAGCACTGGCTCTAAACAGTACGTATTTTTATGCCTGGGCAGCTGACAGTTTTGGAGTCACAGAGCAATATCTCTTCACCATACACAGAGTGGTACAGGCATTCACTACGCTATTAAACCACTTGATACCTGAATAGAAAACATTCAGTAATCATTACAAAACCCTTAGAAAACAGAGACTGAAATATGACAGTTCACAGATAAGAATACAGTTGTTTGTCCCCAGTTTATTTACACTGCAACTATCTAAGCTCTCATTGATGGAAAACTGGATGTCATGTAAATTAGTATAATTGAGATGTCAAACTAGACATTATCCAGAAAAAACAGCACCTCTAAGAAGTAAGAAATTCAACCAAAGCAAAAATGCTGCAAAAGAAAAATCAACCTGTGAGGGCACAAGCCAAATAAAGCAAAAATAAATTGACAGGATCTGAAAGGTCTGAGTATCGCCACTTATGTCAGAATGCACCCAACCTACTCAAGAAAGGTTAAGATGAAGGGGTGTGGAAAAGGGAAGAGAGCCCAGCACACCATGCCCAGCAGTTTCAAACTCTGCTACCAAACAAGCAGTGACACTGCACTCCATGCAGCTGATACAAGTTTATCATTCAGAAAGCAGAAGGACAATTTTACTTCTTCAAAAGTAAATATGCAAATTGGATGATTTTACTTCTTAAAAAGACTTATCTGTGTTGCCTTCTTCAATGCTCTACCTAATATCCTAATAGTTCTATGAGATACAGAACGTGCACAAATCATTTCAACATCTACGCCAGCTGTAATGACTTCGAGAGGTTCCTGTGACATACTTCACATAAAAGTTCTGTAGAGGGTCTACATTTTTTATTGACTTTTGTGTCTGGTACATGTACAGACTGTCATCTGAGTTACTCCTCCTCATACGAGCATTTGCTAGGGTACTGCAAGACCAGTAACAACAATCAGCATCAACATAAACCATGTGAAAAAACCCTACTGCAGCAAGTCTTGCACACAGAGGATTACAACTATTGGAACCCAAGATCTGCAGTTGTAATTTTTAAAATTAAAATACACAAATAAAAATCTTCAAAGAAAATAAAAACAAATTCCAAAAACATGAAAGAAAATAGTTTTTTACTGAGTATTTCACAAAGTGATTTATGCTATTTCAGCGGCTGTTTCTGGATTGGTAACCCCAGGTCTATGTTAGACAAAGACCAGAATCCTTTGAGCAGAATTTGAATTTACTTGGAAGAATAAGAACTGCAAAAAAAAAAATTAGAAATTGCACATCCTTGAAGAATGTGGCTACAACATAATTCAAAGAACAGCTGTAGGCTGTGACTGTATCAATGATCATACACACAAAAAACTACTGCATTTTAATGGTCCAAACCAGTCCTTTGGAGATTACATCTAGCAGTCACGGATCAGGAAGACTGCATTCATCAGAACGTGTTTCCTTGAGCTGCTGCACAGGGTTAAAGACACCCCACACAGTTTACTGGGTTTGCTTCTGCAGCAGCATTACAGCTCGTATGGACTAAGTCAGAGCCCATGCCCGGGGCAGTCTACACAAGACACAGTCCCTCTTATAACCTGAGTGCCCACGTAAAATGCCTTTAGGGTTTTTTTTTGTCCCATTTATTCCTAAAATAAAATTGTTCCAAAATCTCACAGCTCCAATGATATGGAAATTTCTTCTAATTTCCAGCCTCAATTTATTCACAGCCCAGCTTGTATTAATTTGTTCTGGTGCCAGTGTTGGCCATTTACTTAAAACTGTACTTTCTCTCCTTGGTGTTTACAATCCAAATATATTTATTTATAGACAACAATCACACCTCCTCTCAGCATCCATTTGGCTAGACTTCACAAGCCTAGTCCTTCCAGTCTCGTCTAGGATGATGCCCTTCTACACCCCTGATCATGTCTAACACTCCTCTGCTATATTAGACATACAAGTCTAATCTCAGTTCTTCTGCGGGTGACCAAGACAGCACCCAGAGTCCTACTGGAGGGGTGTGTCTCCCTCCCCACTCTGTGACGCCAACACTGGCACTGTCAGCAGCAGCGCATGTACTAGAAACCTCTCCTAATGACATCTCACAAGACATGGGATGTTACTGAATGGCCAACGTCATGCTGCCAGCTTTTGACTATTGTGCAAATCTGAACCTTACTCCCCAGAGCTCCTGTTTCTGTCACACTCCCCAAGTTTCTAGTAGATCTTTCTCCGAGTCACAGCATTTGTTACTCCAAGCCTCAAGGTCCTCAAGTTCTTCATGATTTTTTTTTTTTTTTTTAAAAACCATACACATTTCCTCCTCTCCTTCCTGGGTTGCTCTGGATGGTCCTGATGCAGAAGACATCCTCTGTTTAGCTGATAGAAGAGCAAAGTCTTACATAGCTTAGAGCCTACAAGGACCCATCTAAGGTTCATACGAGCCAGACCCCTCTTTCACGCTTTCCCTCCTCTCCAAGACTGGAAGAGGCCAATGGCACATGTGGTTTTTTGTGTGTGCAGACAGCTGCCACTACTTTAAGAAGGGCATTAAATAAGGGGTAAGACAGCTGAAGTGGCTCAGACAATTGTGTTTTAAAATCAGAGTGTTTCATTTGGGAAGCAGCTTTTCACTTCATGGCCATGCATATTTTATTAACTCAGCCAGTCAAGACCGTAATTTGGACTCTTAAGAGCACCGGTCTGGACTCATTGAGCTACATTTTTGGGTCCATCTAGGTTATGGCTTGGCACTAAGAGGAGACAGGAAAGCACTGGGAAGCTTGGGAATGCGTTCAGTAAAAGGAAAAATATTTCTCAGCTATGGCTTAATGCTGACACTAGCCATTTCCACAGGCAGTTATTTACCCATTGTAGGGAGATGGAACAGATGCAAATGACAAGTCTTTCAGAATTTCTTTATTAGTGTTTGAGTCTCTGAGGATTATAGACCAGTTAGCAAGAAAATACATTGCCAAAAATGTCATCTTCTGTGACTGTGTATTATTTCACATTGATTTGTTAATTAAATTATGGTACTGCTTTTTGCAACTGGCTGTGTGACTGAAGTATGCCAAAAACACAGAAAATAATCACAGAAAATCTGAAGTTAGAAACATTTAGCACTGATGTTAATAATGCCACTTACAAATCAAAACAGTTAATCGCAAAAGTTTCTGCATTTTGATATTATTTGTATAAATTCTCAGTCATTACATCCACTAAATGCACACAAGGAAGTCAGACAAGCTTGCCAACGAGTCAAATCAAAACTTGAACTACATCGGAGTGTAACACATGAAACTGAAATCCAGCATAAATGTCAACAGCTCTGGAAAATGAAATAATCTTTAGAAAAAGTAACTCTGCATAGCAGTAATACCCTGATCACTTACAGAATCTCACCCAACAGTGGATGCATGAGAGATACTGGGGCTGTGTGTGGGTGTTTTTTCCATCATTTTCCGTAATGACCTTGATTGATGCAACACTGAACAAATTCTAGAACAGCAATTTTATTACAAAAATATCACCTTGCGCCAACTTGACTGAGATACCTCTTTCACCAGCAAGCTAGAAATTTCAGATCAGCACAAGTATGTAGCAGTCAGACAACGATCTCTCATGAGGAAAGACAATCGGAAAAAAAATCTGATAGACAACAGAGATGGCTGCGCATACCTTCAACAGCCACCCCTGCCTTCATCAGACAACAAGTGTGCTATTCAGGAAGAAAGGATCTGCGATAAAAGCTGAAATACAGGACATGAGTTGGCTTCCTTCTGTTGCCAAATAATTATGTAGCTATCTACGTACTTCTATGCCTTCAGATCAAATCTGGAGTATAGAAACATAACACAGTATGTAAAATGCCCAAGTATTTCAATGCAAAGACAGAACATTTTTATAAATTACACATTGAATATGACAGTATATCATATTTTTTAAAAAAGACTTCTAGAAAATCATCACTAGAAAGTGCTGTATTTCATCTGGTACTAGAAACTACAGGGTATTGCATTTCTTGGACATGAAATTTCATGTGTCATCTCAAAAAAAAAAAAAAATGTTCCAGTGTCACCAACATACTTGAGATATTTTCCACATTTGGATGGAAAAAATGTACTTTCCCTAAACTGAGCCAGCCTTGCATTATTCAACTTTAAAAAGAAGCTGCACATCAAATTTATAATCCCACTGTACACACAGGAGAAGGTTGCAGCAGACTTGGAGCCGCTCTCAAAGCCTCACTACCACATTACAAAGGTTTCACACAAAACTAATGCTTTTAAAACCAAAAAAAGAAAAGCCAGTGCGCTCAAACAGTATTCAATAGGACTCCAAAACTCTGCTAGTCTGTGCTGCTCTTTACAATACAGATTCTGAAAACACTTTTACTTAATAAAAAGCTTTAATGAAAAATTTTGTTTCTAACAGTAGTCGAGTTAACTTTTATGTTCATTTATTAAGGCTGAATTGGGTTTCGTTTCAGTTCAACTCTCTCAGACGCTACGATGAGTATCTATACCAAAGGACCGCTATGTCACCAAAGTCACCGATGACAAGACATCAACCCACGCCATTCTGCCAAAACCACTGTTAATTATCACCAGCTATTTTCAAGTCCAAATGAACCTTAGTACAGGGAAATGAAGCAAAAAGCTTGTTGATAACCACCAATGTCAGAC